AGATATTCGGGCTATCAACGGTACGATAATTAGCTGTTGGGAGCAGTTGCTCTTGTTGCATGCTACTTGAACTGGAGCCGCAGCCAACGCAGTTGACTTAAGCTGATTGCGTACTGCACACTGTCACACAATCGAATTCTCGATTGTCGATTTCAATCTGCATTTGCTGTTCCTGCTACTGCTCCTTCTCCAGCTTATACTGTTGCTGGTTCATCACACTTTAACTAGGAGTAAGAGCCAATCGATTTTATGCCATGTGCCGTTTTTTGCACTTGCCATGCAAGCGAATTTCAAGTGGAAGACTTGTTGGGCGAGTGGCAAGCGCTGTCTGTACCTTAGCCCGTTGTATGCTTGGCAAACTTTTCACACTCCCATAAACTGTACTCTGTTGATATACCAGGAAAGTACACACACGCACACACACACACACACCACACTCACACAGCTGCATTTGTGGCACTAAAAAAGAATATGCTCGATTCTGCCGTTGGCTGAGTTCTTTTTATTGTTGCGCACTCACCCAAATACACACACACACACACACAATCAGAGGTACGATGTTGTCCTTAGTTCGAAAGTGTTAGAATCGTTACGATGTGCATCAATTGAGGCTGGCAAGTAGGAAATCATAAATAGTTATTGACTTCCAAAATCAAGTGTGTACATACAAATTGTACAAGGCATCTGGCAGCCCATTTTATTGCACACTTGTAGTCCAGGTGATGTGTGCTTATCATAGCGTGTGTCTGCTGTAATGTAATCGTTCATTGTTGTACCGCAATTACATGCTCAACTTGCAAGACTTGAGCTGCAGTTGGTAGCTGTAGTTATCGATCCGAACCTGAATAGAGCCATGGCTGCAAATCGAAGAGCGCACCCAACCAGCAGGATAATAAAAAAATGTAATGAAAGTAGCAAAAAACTGGCGCACATTTTATGGTCAATAAAACGAGAGCCTTTTGAGTTTATTGAAACCCTTGGACTGCGCATTGAAAAATCTTTTGCTGCCATCTGACCCTCATCAAAAGGAGACGACCTATCAGTGAAAACTGAAATGCAGACAACATAAAAATCAGAAAGTACCTGCGCTTTTCATTCGCTCAACACGACTGGCTTATACAGCTAAAGTGAGAAATGGAAGGAAATAGACACATATATGGACTGGCAAAGGACATAATTTTCTGCGCAATTATTTGACAACACCTATACAAACATATTGCGGATACTGTGGTTGCGTGTAATGGACAAGTTGAGGTGTGAAAAAACCCGAGTCGCTTCCCTTAAATGGTACACACATACACAGAGTACTGCATGTGGCCACCAAGCTGTCTGTCTGTGTGTGCTCGTGTGTGTATGTGTGTGTGTCTGTTTGCATTCCCTTTTGCGGTTTATATTTGTGACCCAATTTATGGTCAGGATAGCTTGGGCACATCGCTTGAAGCGCTCATTTGTTTTGCGGCTGTTCCCCATAATAATGGCAGGTAGCTGCCAGCAGCACACACATACGCACACACATACGCACACACACTCACACACACTCAAATTACTGTCGGTCGTATTTAATTCCACCTAATTAAATTCAATTGCTGGGATTTTGTCTTTTGACTAGTACGCATTCGGGCACGACTTCATTTATGTGTGTTCATATTATAATAAATATTATATATGAGCGACATTAATTTTGCTTTCTTGGTAGCAACAGCTAAGACTTAATTATAAATCAAATCAAAGCAACAGCCAATTTAATCAAATATTTTATCATTTTATCCGAAATAATTAATATATACGTCCAGAATTTAACATACAGCATTCAAAAGATATATGAAGTGTGGGCTGCTCTCTTCGCAGACAAATTCCGATTGGCCGGGTAATCGATATGGTTTATATTCAAGAAAAATAATATATTTTGGCTTTAATCATCATCTTGTCTTTGATTACGAATTAGTATGTGCTGCTCTTTTTGTAGACACATTTCGATTGGCAGGGTAATCGATATCATTTGTCAAGTCCACTGGCAATGATGTAATCCCAGCCGAATTCAACAAATTATTGGCGGAAATGTTGGCACATTTCAATAGCTGCAAATGCTTTCTGTGGGCTTGTATGGGGGTGAGTGGGAGTTTTGTTTGTATTTGTATTTGAGGCCAACAATGGCCAGTGGTCTATTGGCATAGCAGAGGCAAATGTGGAGCAATCAGTGCGTTGTTATGCGATATCAACAATACTTAATACTATTAATATTTTATGATTATTGCTGGCCATGCAAGACGCCAAACAATAATTAATTGTATAATTCAATTGAATTGCACAATGCGTCGTATGCGTTTTATACTTAATATGCAAAGTGCCTTCCAGCGAGCAAGTTTAGATAGAAAAATTCATATATATGCGATTTTAATGCAAGCGGACTTTGTGCTTGCAAAAGATTATGAAAAATGTCGCTCTGCTGCAATATCAATGTCAGTGCCAGTGCCAGTGCCAGTGCCAGCGGTATAGAAATTCCCATTAAAAATTTCCACAGAATTCGTCAGTAAAATGCACGATTTAACGCACTCGACTGATGTGGGCCAAAATGCTCGTCTGTCAATTAACTCGATAACATTGTTTACAAAATTGGCGCAATTTAGTTATAAAGGATGTACGCAATGTTTATAATGCTGTTTAGTGGAGGGCTCTTTATAAATTAGCTAAAAATCTATTTACGCGTAAAATGTCAAACAACCATGTTGCTCATTCCCCTCTGCCTGTTGCCAGCTTCCCATTGCTTGTTTTGCCAGCTGCGTCGGTGCCGTAGGATACTCTAAGTGCTGCACGTCAACTTATGTGCTACTCATTATTTACATTCGATTGCAAGTTAAACGTGCGAACAGCTCTGCACAGTGTAAACTTTATCATTCCTTGCCTGAAACATGAGTTTTAGCTATGGTTGCCATATAGCGCATACTAAACTCGTATCTGTGTGCCTGTGTCTGTATTTTCTCAGTATTTTTCATATCCTTTACGTGGCACGTAATTTTTTTGTTTGCCAAATAAAGGATAAAGTTAGACGTAACTGGGCGTCCCCCTACCATCTGTGCACCCTTTTCAAAAGTGGATTAAGCCTCAATATACACATATGTAGGTACCCAACATGCACTGTGTGTGTGTGTGTGTGTATGTGTGTTTGACTCGAGGAAAAGTTTTACTTGTGCGTGCTTTGCTAATGAGTCCCGCATTCATATCCATTTAGCACCTGGCTACTGAGAAATGAAATAAGAAATATATATATATATATATTTATATAAATAAATATATATTTATATATATAAATATGAGTATTCCCCATCCAATCATATTTCATAATTACTTCAATTAAATACGCTGCGGGAAGTTCTATATCAAATGAATTTAGATCTGCCCTGATTGACAGTCGCTTGAATCCAGCTCAAGATGAGAAATAATATAAAATATATAAATACCAAATGCATTTCAAATAGTTTCTTTAAGTAAATAGTTTTTATAATTTAAATTTTATTTGATTTGCCAAGCGTGATGTATATAGACATATATATATATACATATGTAAATGGTAATCAAAAAATTTTTAAAGCAAGCCTGGCATTAAACATTTTGTATTAAGCTTACATTTGAAAATAGTAGAGCATTGATCCGAAATAAATCAAAGCTAGCTCCAACGTAATATTCAATTCAAAATGATGACTTATGTTCACATTTACATGATTAGAATAGAGAAAGGTTTAATATGTGTTTGTTTTTATGATTTCTCTAGAAATCTGCTCCTGCCACTCTCTGCAATCGACTGTCTAAAGTACGTTCACCGCGGCAAAAAAAAGTGTGTTCATATGAACAGACGAACATTGCACAAAACGTGAAGAACGTAAAGAAACATTTATTACAAGCATTAACAAGAAACCCCGCACACCATTTCTAGACCAATGAAATGTATGTATATATGTTTGTTCGCAATACGAATGTATGTGTGCATATATGTATGTCTGTTGTATAGTCCCCTATACGAAATTAAGACAAAAGCTAACTTCTTGTTCTGCTGCAAACTGAAAACAAAAATTGTTGCCCTACTTGCGACTCCCAAAAATAAAACATTTTCGTTCCTTCGATTATTTTTAGTAACTTTTTTGAATTCTATTTCATTCGATCTATCTATATTTTTCTGTCTCTCCCCCTTCTATTTTTATTTCTCACTATTTTCTTGCATTAACTCTAATACGCTCACTCCTTCTTTTGTTTTTATTTTAGGGAATAAATGAATAATAGATGAAAATTCTTTAACACTTGTGGGTAAGTACATATTTACATATTATATAAAAACATATATAAGACATTTCATCTGCGCATGGCATTCAAAATTTCGTTTTGTTTTGTTTTTTTTTAATATATGCGACCTTTTTATAACTCTCTCCCTTTCTTAAAAATCACTTTCCTGTATTCTGTTGTGGTTATTATAATTATTTCTATCTGTCGACGCATCGATAAATGCCTATGTCGATTTTTACATAACGAGTTTAACAAATATTTGGAATCTTTGCCTGCACTCTTTTCAAAACTTTCTATTTTTTGTATCCTTTTTTTGACAACTCATTCGCCATTCGAGGTTAAAGGCTAGTGTTTGTATTTATTACGTATACGCTCCATAAACCGCATGCAATCAACCTACAATGTTTATCGAAATGCGGGCGCGTAATAAAAACGAAGTTCATAAAAGCTTATGGCTGATGGCTGACATAGTCATACAACCGACCAAACAGTAAATTACAGGAGCATCTAAGGCAACAGCAAAAACAACAGCAATGACAGCAGCGGATACCTGAATCTGTTGTGCGCAAAAGGATAACTTTACGAGCTCGACATGGACATAAAGCTGGTAAGCTGAAACCAGAAAGCAAGCCAATAAACCAATGCACAATCGATGCCCAATGAAAGAGCACAAATTGACATTGACGTGCCCATCCCCCACTGTCCCCTATTGCCCACACACTTACCGTGGTGCCGTCATAGCCATTTGTCAGCAGTTGAATGTCGATTTCGAACTCCAGATCCACTTTGGCGGTTGTTGTCAGCTGCAGCGGCAGGTGATCGGCGGCCAATAGCAGCGCACTGTGGTTGCGTCGGCTCCCATTGCCACTGTTGCTGCCGGACAGGAGACTGCTCTGGCCAAGGGTCTTGTTGTTGCTGCTGCCATGAGTTGATGCTGCTGCTGCTGCTGCGGCCAAGGCAGCGATGGCCGTTGCAGCGCTCACGGCATTTGTCATATTGTTGTTGAGGAAGCGGGTGGGGCAGTAAGGTGAATTGGATAGGGGACTGGAAAATAATAGATTGAGTGGTTCTTATGCAGTCGCCGCTTATTGTAGTGTGCGCTCGAATTTCAATCTCAGAATTGGCATTAACAATTCGCCAAGCGACTGCGGCTTGGCATTTAAGCTTCGATTATGACTTCTAATAATTCGTATGTTGTGTGCTTTTTTATTTTATTAATGCAAATCCTGTCGATAAGCATTTGTCGAAACTGTTGCAGAGAGCGATTGGTCTATTCATAAGCTGCATGGTGACATGCATTTTGCATTTTCCATTACGGAACACACGAGCTCACGTTTGCACTATGCAAATCAGCATGTCCTAGGCGTATGTCGAGCTGTGCCCATTCAGCGTCATGCCACATTTCCCAAACGGAAATTGCATATTTTCAACAGTTTTTCCGTGTGGCACAGTCTGCAGAGTCATTTATTATTAGCCACGACTATAATATGGCCAAGACTTGACCATTCAGTGGCAAATGTATTTATGTGTTGAAAGCCCGTAAATAAAGTGCATGCAGTCTGACGTTGGGCGATTGCCTCTGGCACGCCTTGTTGCAATCAAGCAAATTATCAAATTGTTGCCAAATGCGGATTAGACCGTTATTCGTTCACGTTTTGTGCCAATTGGGCCTAATAATAACTTAAACGTCTTGAGTAAGTAACTTGTATTTTGTATTCGATTCTTTTGGGCACGCGCACTTGCGCGCGATAGCACGGCTAACGATTACAGCGACAATTGATCGACACTCGTTCACGCACACACACACACTCGCACAACGCTCACATACACACACACACACACGGACTGGCTGGACTTCTGCGTCGGCTGCTGGAGCTGCTGCCGCGCCGAACTGTGCGATGTGAAGGCTGAACATTGACTGCCCGTTAACAGACACGCACGAGCGACACGTTGAGCCCTGTGGCGGGCAGGCAGACGAATGGCGGGCGGAACGCAGGCGAATGCCGTGCGTTCATTTGCCAGCGCCGCACGGTATGCAACAAATTTGAGACGATTTCATACGCGACTGACGGCGAAGCCTCCGACGATTCAACAGGATGTGCCAATTCGTATCACAGGCGAACCATATGCGCCGCGCACTGCAGAGCGAGCTTTGTCGACCGAAAGAGAAAAGCTAAGCCAACGAGAGACGGAGAGAGCAAGTGGGACATAAAAATAGTGAGTGAATGTGAGAGTGAGGAACACAGAGCGAGCAAACACACACGGTCTTATCAGTCAGGCACCTGTTGTGCCATTGTAACATTGGCGCGTTTTCTGCGCGTTTCGTAGGCGATTTAACTGTGCGCCCGCGTCCGCGCCCGCGCTCTCAATTTAGCCTCATTACTGCCCGGCCCATTGTGACAGCCTGAAGTGCATGTAATGAAACTAAATTGCGTGCACTGACAAATTGCACTGGCACAGCAAATTTTTCAATTTCATTAAGCTAAGCTAGCATTTATTTTGGCACACAATTTGAAAGCTCTCCTTTTCTATCACAAGTTAACTAATCTCTTAAAAGAAACGACGTGACTTATAGCCAGATCTTCTCGCGCAGCCAGATAATATGCCTGGCTAGATCTGTATAGATGACAGGTTGTGTTAGATCACAGCGGTTGGTATACACCTGGCCGGCCGAGACGACTCCGCGCAGCAGCCAGATATTGTTCTCCTGGAGCATAAGGCCACCGCCGGAGTCACCGCTGCAGGGGCCGGCGGCCTGTTTGTTGCCCGCACAAATTGTGTTCGGCGTGACGAGTCTGAGGCCTTCGGTCGACCTCAGGTTGCGCAAACATTCTGACTCAGTAACAATATCCGTATCTGTCATCTTGGCCACACGCGTGTTCACGTTTCCATTCTCATCGGAGCCCCAGCCAGCCACATAGGACTTATAGCCCGAAGGCAACTGCAGCAGAAAGTTTTCGCTCCACAGGCATATGGGCTTGATAAATTCACCAAAGCTGCAAGAAATAATGCATTTTTTCACTTTGAAGAAAGTTTTCGCATATTCGCTGCGTGGAAGCGCCTACCTCACTGGAGATGCCAGCTTGAGCAACGCTATGTCCGCATCTGTATAGTTTTGTGGCGCATATTCTTCATGTAGGACCAGCACAGATACCTCCCGCAGCAGGCCATCCGACACCAGATCCAGTGTGTTGCGACCCAGAGAGACGACAGCTCGGTTGGCGGGCAGATTTCGATCAGTGTAAAGGAAGCAGTGCGCCGCCGACAGCACCGTTGAGGCGGAGATGAGAGTGCCGCCACAGAAAAAGCGCAGACCATCTCCGCCACGCTCGTACAGTGCCACCATCCAAGGCAACTGTCCGCGGCGCACCTGCGTGCCATGATGGATAAGCGGCGATGTGATAGGCCCTTCGCGCCCACAAATTCCACCGAGCTGCGTCAGTCCCTGGACACTTGTGTTGGGTACTACTGATGGTCTAGGCTGTGCCCTGGAAGGTTGAGTTGGAGGACGCGATGACGCTGGTGGTGATGGTGGTGGTGTTGCTGGAGCCGGGGCAGGTGGTTGTGGGATACGGAATGTGGGTCGCTCCTCCGGCTCGGGCTCTACAAAAGTGTCTTGCCAAAATGGGCGCTGCGGCCGCTGCACCGGTCGGACATTTGTTTGCTGTACAAATTGAGGCTGCTGAATAAATAAAGGCGACGTCGTTGAGCGCAGCGAATGAGACAAGGAGAGCGTAACACTGCTGGGAGGATCTGCAAAAGACATTGAATTCTTAGCGGACATTATTAAAGACAAATTACTGAGAACCGCTTACATGGCGATGCTCTGCATAAGACGACATCGTTGATCATCACCAGCGTCAGCTTGGGCAGCTCTTCAGGTGTGGGAAAATCAATGCGATATTTTATGGGGTTACCATTGCGCAGATTAAACTTGTTTACCTGCTCGTCGTCCCACAGTGTGAGGCTGCCAACGTAATCCTGAACAACGAGAAGAGTTGTTATTTTTATTATAAAAAGAAAAACAAAATACTCCTTTTATACTTGTTTACAGCGTAAAAAGACTATATATCAGTTTTGTGCAATTTCCGTCCGCTTGTCCGTCCGTTCGTATCGCGCTTTTCGGAGCTATCGTAGCTAGAAATCCGTCGTCAGATAAATTGTTTAGAATTGATTGGAATAGGGACTACATCTGATGATAGATGCGAAGCGTGGTATCCAGACAATTTTATGTTAACCAATTTACACTTTGCTCATTTAAGATGGATAAAAAAAATGTATTTTGGTTTTATGCAAGTGTATTTAACAGACAAACGGAAGCATGTCTGACACCATAAGTATATATATATATATATATTTCATCAACGTGAACCCATCGATCTCGAAAGCTGCAATAGCAATTGAAAAGTTAAGAAACCTCCCATAACATCCGTAAAACGTGTTTTTCACTTTTTGTCTTTGTTTTACACTTTTCTAAAATATTGAGCATAACACAATAACTATAAAAGCAAGATACACCACATTTATTTTTTAGGCGTTCGTATAGTATACACAGATTAAAAATATTTGTATATAGAATAGACAAGAAGCTTAAATGTTATTTAAATTTAAAAAAAAAAAATAGTACACAGGTAACTGTGTAAAAATTTTGAAATTCTTAATTCATAACATATTAATATGTTATATTGGCTGGGGAGTACAATCGTCGAAAGTGCACTTCCTTATTTAATTTCTTAATGCGCTGAGAATGAGTAGCGCTCAGTCGGTAGCACCCGGCTGCATCATTCTTAATTAATAATATTTGATTAATTAGTCATCACGTCTTGGACGGCCTGACGAACCCTTGTAATTCCCTGACAGCTCATTTGGGTAATGCTTTTTATATGTTATACAACTCTATTGAATGGTATACAGAACTTGAAAGATGTCAAGCTAAGCTATGTATATATATATATGAGTTTGGTAAAACCAGAACTTTTGTGGTTTTGTTACTAAAACAAATACACATAAGATTTATAGCAGCAGTGTAAAATTAATTATTCAAACAGGTGAAAAGAAACCGGTCGCACAACTTCAGATACTAAACCCCCAACGCAGAGAGCTGCGTAGTATTATTATTATTTATTCTACAATAGTATAAAAACAACGCATGGGCTTAACAATGATAGAAAAACCTTTGTATATTTCAATATTGACAAACAAAACAATAATAGTATATATAATATATAATGCCTTTAGGTCAAACCCATGTGTTAGTCTAAATGATGCTCACATTGCTTGAAGTGCAGAGAAAAAATCTCTTAATTTATATTTTAAAATGCTATATTGAAACTGTTTGAATTTGTTTTCAATACCTTATCATCTACTAAAGTATGCTTTGGCATTTTCAAAGCCAATTGCCATTGCTAGGGGAAAAGCACAAATCTAATCTTCTTTAGGGGTCAGTGAGTGATAAGAGTATACAACATATAAACTAAGGGAAATCCAAATACAAAGATCAAAATCATTATTTTTACACACCGAGTTTAAGCGGCTACGCTGCGAGAACTGAACACTGAGTGTATTCTCCTGGTACCTTGGATCATGCCGTACTGCGATACGGCCCACATACTCCTGATTGAACGACAGGTACTCAAAGTATTGTGGGCAGGCCACGGGCGGCACTCGTTGAGCTGCACTGGGCCAAGTTAAGAACAGCAGTGTTATAAAAATGCCGGGCACCACTAATAGCTGTTCCATGTTCTAAACACACAAAGTTGCCGTTTTTGTACACTGACTTGGACGAACACGCGAAAACAATTAACTGAGCGCACTCACGATTCGGACCTCATTGAAAGAGCGCCAAGCGGTGACTGTTATGTATGGGATTCCGGTCAGATTGTCCGATCAGCGACCGACGAGTATCGATGATCTGGGTAAAAACCAGATGATTCCTCTCTCTCTCTATCTGGCTCTTTTTCTCTCTATGCCTTAGTCAGCCAAGCAATTGTTATGCGTGCTTCTCTGACAGCTTCTCTCGATTTGTTTAGATTGGCATCTATGTAAACAATTATATATTTATTAAGTTTCTCTTTAATATTTATTTTTTAAATTCTCTTTTGGTCGAGATTAGCAATTAGCGATGGTTAGCGTTGTAAATTAGCTAGAGCTTAGACTGCAACTATTATTGATTGCATGCCATGAGAATAATTAACATATAAATTACCCGCCGATGACGTACATTAGTACGTGAATCTTCCGTATGCTTCTCAAAAGTATGTGCATATTTAAATTTGATTTATTCATTAACTATCTACAGGTAGATTTTTACTTAAAGCTATGTAAATAACTAGAGCCTAACGTTCTTCTGGCACTGTTTTGGAGTTAGCTATTCCCACATGTTCTGGCGCACCCAGGCAATGTGCTTGGCCACATCGGTGTAAAGGGAAGGCCGGGAGAGATCACAGGTATTATTCTTGTGCGTGCCAAGCGAGATGACCCCACGCAATAGCCAGACATTGTTCTCCCTAAGCATCAAGCCGCCGCCTCCATCGCTGGCGCATGGACCGGCACCATTTCGCTTGGCACAGATCGTGTTCGGCTGAACCAGGGAACGTACCATCTCGCGCAGACAGTCGGATTCTGTGACAATGTTTGTGTCCGTGATTTTAGAGAATTTCGTGTTGACATTGCCATTCTCATCGGCACCCCAACCGGCCACATAAGTCTTATAGCCTGACGGCAGCTGCAGCGGAAAGTTCTCGTTCCAAAGGCAAATGGGAACAATGAAATCATTGAAGCTGTCAAGAAAATAACATAAAATAATACAACAACCGTAGTCCGCACCTTATTGTCTACTTACGTGATTTGCTTGGCTAGCCTGATGAGCACCATATCTGCATTTGCTCTAAACGGGATGTATTCATCGTGGTAAAGCAGCTGCGTTACTTCACGCAACTCGCCATCCGAAACGATATCGATGGTGTTGCGTCCCAAGGAGACGATTGTTTGGCTGGCCGGCAGATCGCGGCCTGGAAATCGGAAGCAGTGTGCCGCCGATAACACTGTCCAGGACGAGATGAGCGAGCCGCCACAGAAGAAAATCAGGGCATTATCCGTAGCACGCTCAAGGAGACCAACAAGCCAGGGCAGCTGGCCGCGCTGCAGCTGCTCCCCTTGGAAGATCAGCGGCGTCGTCACAGCTCTTTCGCGACCACAAACAGTACTTAGCGACTGGTCAATCAGCTCAGGTCTTGGCTCCACTCTACTGCTGAAATTAGCTTGCGGTCGTACCACAGGAGTTGGCCTGGGAGTTGCCAACTCCGGCACTTGAGTCTCCTCAATATTATAAATAGTCTGCTCTTGAGGCTGAACGGACGGTCCGAATTGCCACTGTTGGTTAGCACCCGGCGTAACACGCCGTGTGTCCAAGAAGGCAAGCGGCACCGTTGTGGAACGCAATGAATGCATGAGTGTGATTGCTGTTTTCGGTCGCGGATCTGCATGAGAATTTAAATGCTTTCATTGCCTGGTGATGTACTAACCATTGCGGTTTCTACTCACATCCTGATGCACTGCAGAGCACCATATTGTTGAGCCTGATTTGTGTTAATTTGGGCGGGAAGCTGGGTATGGGAAAGTCAACGCGATAGTTAATGGGTTCGCCATCGCGTAAACGGGATTTTGTTGTCTCCTGATCGTCCAGCAGTGCTATATTGCCAGAAAAATCCTAAGTGAATTTAAACATAAATAAAATAATACAAATTACAATTGCTTGCAATAGAATAAGTAGCTTATATCCTCGAACATTCCAAATGCTACTAAACTATCATTGTTTACTGGAAAAATGGCTCTCCCTCGAATTGAAAGGGTAAACTTGCTTCGATTTGAGCATTTTATTGAATTTTAAATATGCCGGGGACCTACACTTAAGTTGGCAAAACCAAAAAAAAACTTTATGGAAACTGGTCGAGTTGTTTGTGTACACGGTTGGCCATAAAATCAATACATGCATAATTATTACCATGTCGTCGAGACAAGCCACACAAAAAGTACCAGAAGCAAACTGGCGAACCTCTTCAGCTTGTGGAGCTTGCTCTTAGTGGCTCTTTATAACTGTTCTCTAAAGTTCTCCAAAAGGTCCCCACTCGCTCTCATATTGACATAATCAATTATGCATCTCATTTATTTACTTCTCCTTGCTTGCAACGATTTGCTTTTATACTCTGCTCTCTATGGTGGTAAGAATATATTCGGTTAACGGAATGCCCATTTTCAATGAAGGTAACCCAATCGATTTGGCCAAATATGTTTCACCACGCAATACCAAAAACATCAAACAATTGTTTTTTTTTTTTATTTTTGCACTCAGAGCATTGTGTAGTCAGCTAACGACATAAAGATTCGCACATGTTTTCGTTTGCCTTTGCAAATGCAATATTGTTAAGGCGGCGGGAAAAACACACAGAGTAAATAGATTTGTTGGGGTCAATGTGTGATAAGAGGAGAAAGATGAGAACAGCTGGGAAAAAACTACAAATAAACGTCCGCTGATTCAGAAATGTGTATGCAAACGGTCTTCGTAATTTGTTTCAACTGTAGTTATGTACATACCCATTGATAAGCGCCGCGCTGTGAGAACTCCACAAAAAGCTCGTTAATTTCATATTGAGGGTCATGTCGTATCGAAATGTGGCCTATAAACTGCTGATTGAATGACAGATACTCAAAGTACTGCGGACAGGCGATATCCGGCAAATTCTGAGCAGAATTTGGCGATATTAACCCAAGAAGAGGTAAGAAGATGCTGGACAATAGCAACAGCATTTCCATATTATCTACCGCGTCTTTCTGTACTGCTCGAAAACAAAACAAAAAGTATTCGCAAACTTTTCTCGCCACTTAAACGAAACCGACTGTCGAAACAGAGCCGCAACCGAACCTCGCGCTCTGGACTTCGACGAACGAATGATTATTGTATTTACTTCTACTCATTTAATATCAATCACTGCCTCTAGAGCTGTCCCATCAGCGAGTATCGATGTGGTACACTCTGAATTCTCGGGCGAAACCGGATAGCTTAAAGTGCGAGCACCAGCTCTTTAAGAATAATACTCTTTTTAGTTAGTTCTCCCAACTGGCTAAAGACGTTTGCATTTATATATTCAACTTTATATATCAAACGTATTTCAAACAACATTCGAAAACAATATTCTAAAATTATACCTATATCAATATTTCAGATTATTTAAATTTATTTTTTTTTACAATTTTTTTATTTTTGTTTTAATTTTATTATTATAAATATTTTTATAGAATTAATGGAAAATATAATTATCGGTTCATGGCTCCGACCTCGCCCTTAGGTTCGGTTTGTGATGTTATTTTTTTGTTATCCTGTGAACGTTCTTTAATCAGCATAAGTTAAAATTACATATTGGAAATACCTTACATATTTTTTATTCCAAACTTAATTTTCTAATAAGCATCAAAAGATGACTTAATATTGCCATGTCCGCGGACTGTATATAAAATTTGAAGCTATACCCTCACAGGTCGAATATCTTATTATTATTATTATTATTATTATTATTATTATTATTATTATTATTATTATTATTTTTATTATTATTATTACTATTATTATATATATTCTTATTATTTTTATTATTATTATTAATATTATTATTATAATTTTTCCCTCTATTATTATTATAAGTATTGGTATTATTATTATATTTACTCTTACTATTATATTATTTATAGACACGTTTCGAGACATCACTGACGTATTCACTTTTTATTTTCCTTCAATACCTATGTAAAGCTTCGACTTTTTGATGACTTTATAAAAAGGTAGTGCACACTTGTATATTTATTTATTATTATTAATAATTGCAAAATATAAGAGCATTGAAGAGTCGTTGTGTCGTTTTAAGCCTACGTACGGCATAACATTTAACATAATACGTAATTTACACTCAATTGGAAAAATGTTGTATTGAATTAGTGCATTTTTGTTGTTGGGAACCTCCCTCCAGCACGTATTTTTACCTGAGTCTAGCGTGAATTTTGTATGGCATAGCCTCTTTTAATATATAATGATATATCTAAAACAATTTGGTAGACTCTAGTTTATGTTCTGGCTAATCCAGTTCATATGCTTGGCAAGATCGCAATACAGCACATACACGGTGTGATTACAGAACTCAGTTGGGCTCCGCTTGCCCTGAGATACAACTGCCCGGAGCAGCCAGCGGTTGTTGTGTTTAATCATCAAGCCACCACCAGAATCACCAAGACATGGACCAGAACCATCTAGGTTGCTGGCACACAGCGTGCGGACGAGAACCCTCTGGCCATTCCAGCTATTTGCACAATCCGCCTCGCTGGCAATCTTCGCCTCGACAACATGCGGATAACGTGTCACATCGTTGCCTTTCTCATCCGTTCCCCAGCCGGCAATGGAGCCGACTTCGGCTGCAATTTCGGTCTCAGCTGCTTCCCACAGACAAATAGGACTGATTATGTCATTGAAGCTAAAAAAAAAAAATGGATGATAGAATTAAGTGCCAGAGTTTGAAACACAATTAATTGTTGAGTTCACCCACATTACTGGAGTTTCTAATGTGAGCAGCGCAATATCCGAATCCGGCTGTAGCTGCACGCGCATGGAGAATTCCGGATGCACCCTAATGCGTGATACGTCGCGCGCCTCAGCACCTTCTTCCTTGTCATCACGCAAATCATAGCGACCCACCCCTACCCTAACCCGATCCTCCTTTACATTGTAGACACAGTGGGCGGCCGTGATAACTACACTGGTCGAGACCAGCGAGCCGCCGCACTTAAAGTCAAACGAAAATGACTGCTTGTAATATACAGCTGTCAGCCAAGGGAACCTGCCACGCGGATATCCTTCACCTCGTAGTATGAAGGGTACTAACGTTTCGTCTTGGCCACACTCGTATGTTGACTTGGAAGCACTTGGTGACGACACGGCTTTAGGATTCAACCAATTGGCAGTTGGAGTTAATGGCGGCGCAGGCGTTGCTGAGGGCCAAGGGGCGGGGGAAGCAATAGGTACTGTTGGTGTTGTCGATGGGGGCCAACTTTGTCGAACCACGGAGCTTGTAGTACCCCTTACTATTGCCGTCTGCCAAGGTGACCAAGCAGCAGCTGTGGTGGAGCGCTGTTCATTGACAAAATCGGACAGAATATGAGCTATTGCGTCCTCCGATCCATCAAAGATAACTGTTTTGATCTCCACATCGGTCTGTCCCTGCGAAAATGTTTGCCCCACAGGCGTGGGAACGAGCCAACGCGGTGATTGCAGATTGTTAATGTGGAACTCGTAAAAGCGATTGAAGAAACTGGTGGGCGGATCGTCTAAAAATCAAATGCCAATATCAGCGTATTTTCTAAAAGAAACTGATTAAGAATTAATACTCACATTCGCTGGCTGTGCAAAGCGTAAAATCATTGAATGCCAACCTCGTTAGCTTGGGCAGTACACCCGACACATCCGGCCAGAGGCTAAGCCGAAACTTAGCAGCACCCAAACTGGCGCGCGCTGTAGCCTCATCGGGATATGGCTGCAAGGCGCCCATTACAGTTACCTGTCAATTATTGGAGGGTGGTAGCGCAGTCAGATCAGTATTTGAATCGCAACAAGATAATCAGTTAGAGCTTATAGAGTACATACATCTATAATGCCGCGCATCGAGAACCGCACATCGATGCGATTGCGGCCATTTTGCAAGGCAAGAGTCACCTCGCCCTGAAAGCTGCCAATGCCATTTTGGACATACTGAAAGTACTTTGCGCACGAGTTCTCCGGCAGACGCTGAGCAACGGATGCCATTAACACGATGGCCACAAGCAGCAGCCGTAGTTGCGTGCTCATCGCCAGCTATAGTATAGAAGAAAAAACAACGAAAACTGAACTAAAAACAAAAAGTACGAAAGTCTAATTGAAATCTTGTCTGTTTAATGCACACGCGACGAGCGTCAATGGGCGAATATAACTGCAATCGACTGCGCTCAGTCCCGGTTAGCGTCGACGGCATTGCAAAGCTAGTATGCTAAGCAAACTGGAAATTCCGCATCGTGCTGAGGCTAATGAAGCGAGTAGAACAGAACCAAGATCTTCAATAGTGAATCTTGAGTCTAGCGTATTGAGTGAAAACCGAATAAAGAAAGCGGAAAACAAAAAAGGGGCACCGCTTTAGAGCGTAAACAACACATAAACGTGGATTATATACACGGACAGCGTCTTGATTATTTTTTTTTTTTTAATTTTATTTATTATCTCACAATATTACGCTCTACCCAGCTGAGATGACTGGCAACGTCAGAGTAGATGACAGAGCGAGACAAGTTGCAGCCATGTCCCGCGCGTTGAGCCAGGGAGACGATGCCGCGCACGTACCAGCGCCCATTGCGCAGCACCATCAATCCACCTCCGGAGTCTCCCAGGCAGGGCCCATGCCCCTGGCTGTTATCCGCGCAGAGTGCACGAGGTGTCAGAAAGTCCCTGGCAGTCAGCATATCAGACAGACACATCTCCCTGGACACCAGGGTCACATTAACGGCTACAGGAAAGCGCGTTGGCTTAAAATTGGCATCATTGCCCCAGCCGGCGACAGCAATCTCTTCTTCGCCATCGAGCGACATGCCGTTGCTCCACAGGCAAATGGGCCGCACGTAAAAAGAGAATTGTACCTTCTCGGCGAGCACGAGTAGACCTACATCACAGTCAGGCACCACATTGCCTACAAAGTCGGGATGCGTGCGCATGCTCTCCACAGTCATCAAAGTAGCATCCTTTTCGGGATGCAAGCTTGTGTCATGACGTCCCACATAGACTCTCAGCTGGGCCGGCGTATAGCTGTAGATGCAATGGGCCGCCGTTATGACCGTGCGTGCAGAGATTAGTGAAGTCACGCATTTGTAAATTAGCTGAATCTTATTGGGGTCGATATTGGTGTCGAGATAAAGCGCGGCCAGCCACGGAAAACGCCCTCTGGGCACGATTTCACCTCCATTCTGTAAGGCAACATAACCCTCCAAGCCGCACTCCTCTTCTGCCGGGTCACGACGCGTATCCACAATGACAATAGGTTCTTCTCTGTTGTTCTTCAGCGGCTTCAAAAACGGATTGGCATCCCAGCGACCCCAATTTGAGCCAACCGATGCAGCCGATTTTTCTGTAGTCGTTGCCATCCACGGAGTAGGAGTTATTGGTGCATGAATTAATCCTGTGCTCCTGTGCTCTTGAGTAGTCTGTGACGTAACAGCCATGTGCAACTCGCGCGTCATTCTTGTTGAGGGTGGTGCGTCTAATAAATATAAGAGATTGGGACTTAGTTGTAATTTTAGCAGGTAATATAGCTCTGATCAAGACTAACTGACGAGCTAATGCCGTGGGCCTAGCGCCAATATGCAGATGCATTTGAAATCGTGCAAGCAAAAATATATATTGATGACTTAAGCTATTTTAATTTCAAATTGCATTATCACAGACGTGCAAGTATATATATAATTTCTAAGCCAATACTAGTTATTGTGACAACAAGTCTCGTTCCAATCAAACTAGGCATACAAGAACATAAAATAATTGTAAACAGTGTTACAACAAGCCTAAGTGAGTCGAACTGAAAAAAAGTAGCTAGTACGATACAAAAATGGGGTCGCCAGCAAAATGAACTTTGAAATACCGTGTTCCCTACATTGTTCGATCAAGTCAAATAGGGGAGCATTATGTACAGTTTAGTATCCTGATTTAGAGAATTTTGAATTCTAGAAGTCGAAATTGTTTCTTTCTGAATGTATCGCCTTTGTATATAATGGACACACGCCAAAGAAAATTAGCATGAACAGCTGAACCTCTACTGTCTAGGTTTAATCATATATTCAAAACAATATACTATATACCGAATAGTTTGCTCTGATGTCATTCGACAAAATAATTGCATAGCCAATCATAAACACTCGATTACTCACATCCACTGGCAGTGCACAACACTTGCCCATTCAGCTCGATGTGCACTACCTTGGGCACCAGATGAACGTAGCCATCGAAGCGCACAAAGCATTCGGCTCGTCCGCCGTTGTGCATTGCTTGGAGAGCGGTTTGCTTATCCGGATAAGGATCCAGTGAACTGACTGTTCCATTCTGTAAGCGCAGTGAAAGTCAGGTCGGGGTCAGCTTGAATGAGGATCTCTGGATCTCTCCGTACACACGTACCTGGTCTGTGCCATGAGATACAAAACGCACCAGCCATTCGACGCTTTTCAGTCCATCCTCTGGGGGCGTGAGAAGCCCTATCCAATGATCGCTCTGTTGCTGATATCTGAAGATACTGTAACACCCGGAGGGTGATCGGCTCTGGGTCAACACAATGCGTAAACTGAGGCTGAACAGCAACAGCGTCAGCGGCAGCTTAAGCATCTGAGTTGCAATGATTGCCATTGAATGTCGCATAAGAACTGCTGCTGATAGCAGCTGATCGAGAACTGAGCTGCTTGATTCGAACTGAAGTTGATAACCTTACATGCCCGCTCAAAGCTAGGCATCATCTAGCTCTCTGCCTGCTGTAAAATACCCGTACGTAAGAGCGACTGGCGGCGCTTATACTCGATCTGGCTTGTGGGCTTTACCCGTTAGCCCCTCGACGGTGTGAACCTGTGTCAGAACAGATAGATAATATCTTCCCTAGTAAGGTATACTAATAACCCTACGGCGGCGCTTTATTTACGTTTCAATTCAGCTATAAATATAAAAACCTATCTCGTTTCTAACTTGCCGTAAAACTCGTTTAAATAATTCCTAACTCTCTCGCTTATTCTATATCGCTTTCTCGCTCTTTGCGTACATTCAATTCGCTGTTAGCTGCAGCATAGTTGCACTCGAGCAGAACGTGTTTAGCGGCAGATGCAATCATGCTATGTAATCATGCGAATAAAGATATTTATATACCCCGCCGTGAATTTCCCGTCTTTAATCAATTCCCACCTTAGACGGAACTTCGTTGCTTTTATCCCAAAACTTTGTCATTGAAAAAACTTTGCATTGGCACCGCAATTTTCGCTTATTAGATGAAAAGTTAAAGATCCTGTCACACGATAAGGCAACTTTTAATATTGTAACGCAATGTTTGCATGCAAATATAATATTGAAAATGATGGTACATGAGTGTGTCAGTATGTACTTGTTTAAGTAGCAAAGCGTTGGCAAAACTTTTGAACAACAATAAACGCACCCAATCTCGATGTTTAGCTGAAGGAACAAAATTCCTCCACCTTTGGTTGGGTGGCTTTGTTGTTCAGGCTTAGAGAGCTTCTTTTTTCACAGCAACTTTTATAATCAGCTCAAGTCTGTTAAGCTTTTGTGGTAATTTGTGGGGATTTCGCGTAAATTTCATTCGTTTTGCCAAATAAATGAAATGAAATATACAACTTGTTGGCCCACAACTTGCTTCCAAGTTATGGGGCTAATGGCCGACAAAGTTGGCGCTGCTGGCACTCGTGACAGCTCCAGTCGCAGCCGCAGCCCGCATACTCTTGCGGCACATATCCGACCAATTTGACTGCTCCTCAAGGTGAATTGCTTCCGCTATGAACAGCCACCCAGTCAATGGCAGCTGCCTATTACCAACTGCAGGAAGTGCATGCGCGTTGTAAATTGTGCGCACTTGAAGGACTTTGATTGCCATTGAGGCGTTATGGGAAACGTTAATTGGAGCATTAGGCAGCCACTACATAAGCACTTATGCATAAGTCCATACCAATAAGCAACCGCTGGGCATCGGCAATTTATGGTCAGACTTTTCAGACTTATTCGTTGCATTTGACACCCAGTTTTGTATTTAAACCAAAGCGGAGGTCTTGCCCTTTATAATGAGTTGTAAGCTATGTTTTTTATACGAGATCCGGCAAAACATGTTTGGAGTTTCTAGCTCTTATAAATTACGAATTATAGTATGATAAAAAACCATGAGACAAAAGGATATTTATCGGCATCGAAATGAGTGTACGATAATATATATAGTGACATATCCATAGTCGCACCCACCCTTTAACATAACTTAGCACATAAGCATAAGCACAATTATAAACATTTCTAATATTGTAAACAAAGAGCCTGGTGATAACATCGACATTGGTCAAGATCAAACTGTCCCCCTTTGGTAGACATAAACAATTCACCCTAAATATCACGCCACTGTCAATGTTCCCATCAGAGTACTATCCCACGCATAATTGCTGACGCAGCTCAAACTTCACTCAATTTTGACTCAAACTCTCTCAAAGCGAAGTTTGCTAAGCGACCGCAACAGTTAGATAAATCAGTTCATATTCGGGAAGCAAATCTGAATGTACTCAACAAAAGTAGCCGTTAAGTGAAAATAATAAATTGAAATATATTTTTTTATAGTAACCTAACGTGTAAAACTTAATTGGCGCAGCCGGTAGGATACGTCGGGAAAAATTAAAGATCGCTAAAGGATAATTAATTCCCAGATCTAACGCACAATCGCGACCGAAAGTGTTGTCGGAGTGTAATAAAAATTTTCTCGAATACGTATCCGCACAAGAACCTTCGGGTCATTAGTAGCTTAATAATATTGACCCTTTGGGCAATAAAGCTACTACAGTTAATAACGACTGGATTTGCATATCGTTTGATCCCTGCAATACGTTATTACTGAGTCTTTTTAAGACACACACACAAAAAAAAAAAACATTTAACCAATAATCCATCACAAACTTTAACCTAAAATAAAAGTGCAAAATCAAAGAACAATAAAGTTCAAACCTACAAACTCAAAACTATTCAAAAAAAGTGTATTACATCAAGATGACCATGGAATTATCAGAACAACACCTCAACCAGGCCCTTTCACAACTTAGACAGGTGCCAAGCTTTGACGGATCAACGGATCAACTAAACGCCTTCATTAAAAGGATAGATTACATCCTACACCTGTATCCAACCCGAGATGTTAGACAACATAGCATCTTATACGGAGCCATCGAATTGCAAGTCACAGGAGATGCTCAGAGAATATCACAAAGGACAGCAGCCAACACTTG